AGGGTGTTGCCGGCGGCCGTCACGGCCCGCAGCCTGGGGAAGAAGCTGGAGAAATCCCGAGGGATGGTGTTGATGTTGAGGTTGCTGATGTCCAGCTCCTGGAGGTTGTGAAGGTTGTGGAAGTCCTCCGCCGGCAGCTGGGAGATGCGGGCGTTGCCAGCCAGGCTGAGCTTGGTGAGGCTCCCCAGCCGCCGCAGCACTGCCGGGACACGCTCCAGCAGGTTGTCGGAGACATCCAGCTCGTGGAGGTTGTTCTGGGCCTGGAAGAGCTCCTCGTTTAAGCTCGTCAGGCCCAGCCCCGCGATCTTCAGGGACTCGATGTTGACAGCGTGGAAGGCCCCCGGTGCAATGGCAGGGATCTTGTTCCAGCTGATGTCCAGCAGCAGGAGGTTGGGCAGGTCGAGGGGGGGCACGGCCCAGAGCTGGTTGTGCTGCAGCTTCAGCTCCAGCAGATTCTCCAGCGTGTCAAAGGCAGCAGCGTGGATGTGCTGGATCCTGTTCCTCTGCAGGTAGAGCCGCTCCAGCAGCCGCAGCCCGTGGAAGGTCTCGTTGGTGATCTCCTGCAGCTGGTTGGAGGACAGGTCCAAGTTGACGAGCTCCGTCAGGGGCTGGAAGATGTTTTTCTGGATGCTGGTGATCTTGTTTTGCGAGAGGTCCAGGAGCTGAAGGGCGGGCAGGCCCGCAAAGCTGTCCTCGCTGAGCATCGTGATGCCGTTCTCAAAGACGTAGAGGGAGAGCGTGTTGGGGGGCAGCCCCTGGGGCACGGTGTGGCCCCGTCTGGCCGCGCACAGGATGGTCTTGGGGTCATGGCACTGGCAGCCTGCAGGACATGCCCCAGCCAGCTCCCCGGGGGCCAAGAGAAGCAGCGTGCAAAGGATCAGCTGGTTCATGGTGTCAGCTCTGCGGGAGAGAGAAACCCAGCCAAGGTTAGGAGCCAGGCCCTGCCGGGGGTGGACCCTGGGCTGGCAGGGCTGTGGGGTGCCTCAGACCCCCCGCTGCTACCCCTGCACCGCTGCTGGGGTGCGAGAGCCGTCTCCCCGTGCCCTGCCCCGGACCCTCCGGCCCCAAAGGTACTGCGGAGGGAGCGGGAAACTCCCCGCCAGGCTCCTGCCTCCTCTGTGCTGCTCCGGTGGGGGACAGAGCCAGCGAGAGCGAAGCGGCACTGTGAGCTGCCCACCCCAGCCCCACACTCTCCCCCCTCCCCAGACCCCCAGGATTTACCTTGGTACCTTTGCACACCCCGGGCTCTACCGTGAGACATGGCTCACCAGTTGTGGCCTGACTTCTTGGTACCATCTCCGGTGGGGCACCGAGACCCCCCCCACCTCGGGTACGTGGCAGGCCAAGGGCCCCTCCCTCCCCAGCTGCTCTCAGCGGGGTGCAAATCAAACATGGGGGATGCGGAGCAGAGGCACGATTGGCTTGGGAGCCAGGGGAGGGGGTGGGAGCCCGGCCGGCCTTCCCGGCACACCGAGCACCGCTTAACCCTTTGCTTGTGCCGCCGTCCCCACAGCTGCACCCACGGGGTCTGCTCCGGCCCGGATCGCCAGCAGTAGCAATCCCCTCAGGGACGGGGGCACCCAGAGAGGGCCCCCACTGTGGGGTGGCGTGGGCACGGGCGGTGGGGCGGAAGGAGCCGGGTGCTCCCCTGCCCCACAGGTCCCTCCTGTGCCCTTCAGAGCCGGCTGCGTCCCCGCAGAGTCCCGGGGCTCGAGCCAGCTCCCATCCCCTGGGGGCCACGGGTCACCTTGCTGTTCCCCTTCCTGCCGGCACCCCGGGGACCCAGCACAGCACCCTGGGCTGCATCCTCGTCCCTCAGGGACGGGGACTGGGATGGAAGGGAGGATGCTCTTGGGGTGAGTGAGGCTGTAACCACCCCTGCCCCGGCCCCCCGCGGGTGC